TCCCAGCCCTTATAGCTATGCAAATTTAGGATAATCTGCAAAACATATCTCTTCTGTCTTGAGACTGCAGAGATAGCTTCAACAAGGAGATAACTCCAAAGTGTCTCCAAACTAGATACATATCCTTATGGACGCTTCTTCAAATCTCGCTTTTCAATTTTGCTATAGTTGTCTACGGTATATATTCATAAAGTGACGCCTCATACGGAAGCGTGAAGATATATATCAATCCTCCGTGCATTGGTGCAAGGAGCATAAGAAGAGCGCCTCTTTCTTATCTCCCACGGAGCTGAGCGATATCTCCCCATCTACCAATGATGGACCAAAAAGCCATCTCGCTCGAGTGAAAACTGCTATCAAGGAACTCCTTGCCTATCAAGTGCTTGGTTGCTTATCTATGTGTTGACACCCCACCCCACATCACATGGGCTCAGCATAACATCTCTTTCACGCTCACGAATATGAGCTGTAGCAATCCATCGAGCTATTATGCCTACTCATCATGACAAAGGCGCAACACGGGATTCTACCATAGATAAAGAGCTTGCTAAGTTTGTAGGATGTCAGGTCCATTATCTCACAGCAAAGAAGCAGTCGACTCCACGGGCAAGAAGGTATGACAATGGAAGGCTGTATAGGGAGTTCTACAAAGAGATACAGGCAATATTTCAGTAAGGTGATATCGCTACACGATGCATGGCTAACGAACACCGTGGTCGACAGGTCTCCCTTTCCTCCCCTGCCTTGAAGCAGAATATTAGCCTACGGATGTCTATCTGATCATCATCGCTCGCTTGAATGACTATCAGCGGGTGACAGCTTCTACCCGGACCAAAGAATCTACTATGTGGTGGATATCATCCGTTCAATGACTCCTAACGCCAGAATGCTACGATGACCCGCATGCTCCAGCCCCGAAGCCAGTGATGAAGTGCCGCAAGCCATGGCATGAGCGACTGGATCAGACACTAAAGCGGCCCGCACGGCAGAGCAGAATACATGCTAGATGAATCCTTGACTTGTGTTGGCGCCTGACGATAGACAGGCATGTGCCAAGGGCCACATGAATGGGAACTGGAAGGCGTCACAGTTGTATGGGTGGAAGGGTATACATGATCTCCCTTACCAATGTTCGTGGAGTGTCTCCGTTGTGGAACCTACGATCAGAAAGGTTATCCAACCCATTGCATGATTCGGTGAGAGTACTGAATCAGTGCAAAGAGCAGCAACAGATTCTGTGCTGCCGGCGGTCTAGTATAACCTTCGTGGAGAACAGGATCGCAGGGAAGGATGAGAGCGTATCGTGCCCGGAACCCGAAGTCTTGGTCCAAGCCAACAACCTATCGGTAGGAGCAAGCAGCATCCAGCCCAAATAAACACAATGGATCGAACGGAACGGATGGGCTCGGAAGTGCAAGGCACGATTGGACGCTCGAGTCTATCACATCGAAGGAACTCATGGACTCCTCAAAAAGCACGTGGTGTCCAAATTGAGAGATACATCGCCGTATTTGTGGCCTCTAAACGGTTCGTCGAGATCGAAAACAGGAGAGGAGCGCGGGATACAAGGGAGATCTTTGAATTGCCAAACGCCATTGACAAGCACTCAAACACTGTATGCTGATACTGCATCGCATCCGCCCATGTGCAATGGAGCGGATAAGTTGCGCGGACATTGTGGTGCTGCTGCGCCTGAGATCGACCACGCGCCCATGCTGAATCTGAACCGCCGGTTCCGGAGCTGTCTACCTGAGGGCGCGTCTAGTTCCAAGATGCAGAGACCCCCTCACAGAAAGGGACGTTGAAGCCGTGCTCTCGACGGCTAGTGTCCATTGACTGCTGTAAGCGTCGTCCTGCTTGCTCCTGTGGGTGAAGGAACTTGTTTATCGACTATTGAATTCCGCGAAATACAGGCATACACTTGCGAGACGCCTGAATCACGAGGGAGTCCATGCACCAACGATCCTAGGCCGATGCAGACCAATACCAAATCAGTGGCATTTGCCTCTGCGACACAAGGAAATCATCGCGATATGGGGTCAGTTCACGTCGAGGGAGTTGCCATTGTGGCAATTAGATTTCGGGCTATTGAGAATTTGTAAAAGGTTTCCGCTTGGCGTTTCAAAGCTCGGACAAATTCCTTCCACAGGCGAACACATCTTCTTGCGCAATCACAAATTGGAAGGCAGACGTTTCTGTCTGGGAGAAGACGATGGTGGAGGGAAGTGTCGTAAGTCAATTCCAACCGTGATTGGGAAACTCTTGTGGCTGTCTTGAAGCTCAAAGATGATCAAACTCCCGTCTTCCTCTCCAATTTTGGGACATAGGGCGGGAGGCATCGATCAGTCCTTGTATGATCGACATAATCCTGTTTCGAGAGACGTATCAGTTAAGATCATGTCATTCATGAGCCCACGAGCCAGAATATGAGACACTACCTGAATTTGAGCATCTCGCAAGGTTGCAACAACATAACGCTTTCTGAGTTCTGATATGCATCCAACTGTGGTAAAGGATGTTTAGGCCTCCCATTGCCACTACATTAAGGCTCATCCATGAGAACGGCGAGACGATCACATGTCCTCTGTATCCAGACATGATGCCATTTGACGACAGCTTTTCGTTCTTCCTGCCATCAACTCTCTTCCGACAGGTTATATTAAGGGGCGACCAATGACGATCTTTGATACGAAAAAGACCGAACAGACCAAAAGGAGCGCTAAGCATTCAACTCTGTCAACGCCGCAAAGTAACCGTTTTAGTCCCTTGGCTGAGTCGCAGAAGCGGAGGAGGCTGGTCTCGCGGATGTTGGCGGCTGACTGACGCAGACCTAAGAAACCCTATGCGAGAACTTGGGATTACAATGCGTATTATCGCCACCATCCTGCTTCTGTTCTATGTTCTGACTCGTCCTTGCATCAGTTGCCCTGGCTAAGAGTCGGCCCTAACGGCCGCCATCCCTGCTCCTGGCGAGGTCTTGGAGCCCAATCAATAATTGTGCAATTTGAGGCTAGGACAGACCATGTCCCATTGGGAAAGCAGTGCGAATGTCTCGTGACTGACCGGAACAACAAGGGCGACGTTCGTATGGCGAATTTACAGAGTATCCAGATTCCAGACTTCAGAACTTCATGCATGTATCGAGGGGTCTAGGAGACATAAGTCGAAGTTTCGAGAATGGGCATCAATCTTCAAAAGAGAAACCGACTTCTCAAGCCCAATCCTTCGTGCCACCAAAACCTGATTTAGTGCAAGTCAGCCGAACTATTGAATCATGACAGACAGCTTGGTATTTTGGACTAAGCTCAGTGAAAGCTGAGACTGTGCACGGCTCCTGCAGCTTGAAGTCTGATCCTGAACCCACTCTGCTATGGTCTGTAATCCTAGTTACAGCTACTGCAAAGTTGATGCCGATATTGGTCAGGTCTTACTATTGACACTTATTTACTACCATGTACCTGTGCGAATGCAGCACACCAATCATCATCGTGGAATGACAGCTGTCCGCCAGGTACTGTCTGTAAAGCAATACATACATACTAAATAGTCAACCGCAGCGCTCGAAATTCGAGGCGCTCAAAAGTGCGCACGGAAATTTTTCTTACCAGGGACCCCGGCTGGTATGTTTGGCGGATCCGAACTTCCGCCACATTCGCAAGCTTACAGTCAGAGAGGGTCCAAGGCTCCACGGCCAGGCACGAGTAACCGAGGTGGATTTCCGAGGGGAAATACGGGGTAACACGATAATCTCGAGGATGAAGGAGAGCGTGCAACTAGTATTGAAATCGGAGATCAAACGCTTTGATAAAGAATGAGACCAGATGCAGATCCCCAAACTGAAGCATTTGGTGTCTCGGGAGAGGATGGGGAAAGAAAGCACTTGCATTATTATTAGGCAATCTGAACCAACATCACACCACCTTGTAAGGCATCTTATGGATAGACTTGAGTAAGTAATTTCCGGATCCTTGACTCTGTGCTCAATAGTGTGCATCAAGTGACTGAAAAATCGGACTTTGCCACTGAAACTGCGAGGAAGATCAACCAACAGAATCATGGAAAGAGCCAGTGAGAGTGGGCTGCGGGGTAACATTCTCCATTGTCTCACTCTTCTCCTGTCATCCAGTCATTCACACCCGCACTAAACAGCATCGCTTAGGACGAACCCGAGTTCCGATAGAGGAGCAAATGAGGATCTGGGGGCGGACCTGGGGTTATGAGGTGCTAGTCAGTCCTTACTGTTTATCAATTAGTGCATATTGACAAGGCCATTAGTGCAGGGACTCTACCAATCTCGAACGCGAAAAAGATCAATGTTGCAGCGCTAAGACGGTAGCCACGGAGGACTGTCCTATTCGGGTATAACTGCGTGGTTGTTCCTTAGGTATCCATGGATGTTGACCAGAGAAACGGTCTGCTTTTCCAGTCCTCTCTAGCCATCCAGAAGCAACCTAGGCTGGGGATCAACAGACCGTAGTCATACTGTCGACTCGAATCAAACAGAGTCCAGACCGACGATCTTGCCCCATCCATCCAGACAATGATTAATCGCTCGTTGCGCTTCCCCGGATCCCGGTCACTCATTCGTGATTGGCGACGAGAGACTCCAAAGTACCTACTGTAGCATCAGAGTCCGGTGCAGTACGTACTCGTAGGGAGTGGCCATGATCTAAGAATAGTCAATCCATGGCTTAGAATCCGGGAAGCTGCCCCTGATCGCGACTTTCCTCGGTCCCAAGTCCAAGTCCGTAGATTGCTTCCCTCCGTGCATGTGAGGTTTAATCTTAAATCCCTGTACCAGGCCCTATATATACAACCTCCCAGGTCACTGCTCGATCCCTTCTTCCTCTTTGTCTCTCAGATCCCAGAGAAGAAAAAATCAGATCCAGTCTTTCGCTTGCTCGGTCGATCCCATTCGTTTGGCTCACTCGATTCTGTCCATCTATACAACTACATTCTTAGATACAACTAATCTATAATACCACCCTTCGTTGGTCAAAATGCGTTTCTCTGCCCTCCTCATCACTCTCGGCCTCACCGGTGCCCTGGCCACGCCCACCCTGGTATCTCGTCAGGCCCCTGCCGTCGGTGTCATCTCCGACATCTCGGCCCAGACCTCTGCTCTGGCCTCCGCCGTCTCCTCCTACAGCGGTGGTGACCCCTCCGCCGTCAAGTCCGCCTCCGAGAAGCTCGTCAGCACCATCAACTCCGGTGTCGACACCGTCAAGAGCGGCCCTGCCCTCAGCACCGCCGATGCTCTGGCTCTGACCTCTCCCGTCCAGGACCTGACCAAGCAGGTCGAGGGCGTCGTCAGCGACCTCATCTCCAAGAAGGACCAGTTCGTCGCCGCCAACGCCGGTGGCACCGTCTACCAGGACCTCCAGGCCCAGTACACCGCCGCCGACAACCTGGCCAAGGCCATCTCCGCCAAGGTCCCTGAGTCCCTCGCCGACATCGCCGCTCAGCTCTCCGCTGGCATTACCGCCGCCATCCAGAAGGGTCTCGACGCCTACAAGGACGCCGCCAGCTCCACCGGCACTGCTTCCTCCTCTTCTGCCCCTGCCACTGAGACCGCGACCGCCACCGAGACCTCCACTGCGACCGGCACCGTCACCGAGACGGCCACTTCCACCCCCGTCATCCCCACCGGTACCGCCTCCGGCAGCGCCTCCGCTACCCCCTCCACCAGCGCTACCCCCACCAAGGGCGGCTCCGGCTCCGGCTCCAGCACTGGCTCTGCCACTGCCTCCACCAGCACCAACCTCCTCGCCACTGGCGCCGCCAGCAAGGAGCACTTCAGCTACTCTCTCGGCGGTGCCGTCGTCGCTGCCGCCATCGCCGTCGCTTTCTAAGCGCCCCCTTTCTGACTTTGCCTGTTGACTCTCTGAGTCAAACACAAGTCGGACGGCGGACGGCGGAGAGCAACGCAATGATGCGATGGGAACGTTGATGACGATCATTCACGAGGCAAGACCAGGGTTCCAACGATCGGTTCATGAGAGCGTTATGCGAGAACAATGGCAATGACACCATAGGGCTTGTCGGCTTTCCATCCGATCTTTGTACTTGTTAGTCCACCGTCGGGTCCGGGTCACGGCTTGGATCCGTCTGTACGCAATATAGTTTTAATAATTGATATCTCTGTATACTTGTCAGTGCATTTCTTCCTTCCGTATAGCTTAGTAGAGTAAATGCTTGATCATGTTAGTCTTCTTTTGGGTCTGCAAAAGGCTTAGAGTCATGGCCTTTAGGTCTTGAATCACGCAATGTGTTGACACTTAAATGTGCAGAGAACTGCGTCGATGCTCGGACAAAGGTGTAACCCGATTTGCAACCCGATTTGCAACAAGCGCAGTAATAGACCAGAAGTATCTTATGAGAATAAGAGAAATAAGAAGCAATAAACATGAGTAAATCAATTGATATCTGCCGGTAAGAAAACGCTTCTGTCCATCTATCGGCGGGGTTGGAAAGTAAACCCAAAAAAAACTTGGACACGGGGAGAGTCGAACTCCCGACCTACGAGGATCACAAACGACCTCATAAGCTCGTCGCTCTAACCAACTGAGCTACGCGTCCGTAGTTAGTAATGTTAGTCTGAATTTATAATTCATATCGTCATCCGTTTAGGCACGCAAACTATCAAGTCGAGAAGAATTTTACCAGTGAGCGAAAATTTGTTATTTGCGAATAAATTTCTCTTCTCGCTCCTGATCGAGTATGAGCATGAGACGGCCTGTGGGAGTCTGGTGTAGATGTGCTGAATTGGGTGTCCTCGTTGGCGACCGGATCCCAATCCTTGTCAACAAAATGTTAGTTCGTTCAGCAAAGGTGTAGCATGAAGTATGAAGAACTTTGACAAGTTTCCTCAGGAGACTAAGATGGCAGATGGACAAAGACGCTAGAGCTAGGACTTCTAAAGTCTAATTTGCAGAGATTTTCGGTGGTCCCAGTTCGCGCCACATGCGGGTCCATAACGACTTTGGAGTTTGGTTGTAGATGGATTTTGTATCCTGATATCAACTCTATTCGTTGCGCTGGGAAGTGTCGCCTGGATACTGCTCTGGTTGTAGAGTATTATACATCTTTGAAGGATACAGTCTTAACTGGATCTATGTATTGATGACTATGTGCAGCGATATATATTCACGATATGTTCGTGCGTCTGCGCTGGAATCAAGCCTCGGTTTCAGTCTGTCGATTAATTATTTGCAACCGATGCCATTCAACATCGGAAGTGGAACCCGGCCGCGAGTACATGACGTAGAAAGCACTTATACACAGTCTACGAGAGATACTTCCTGAGACACGGTCACGGCAATGATCTGTCCAATCCCATGTGCTATGTCGACGGACCCATCAGTGGCCAATTGAGAAAGGCGATTAATATATGCCTCGAACATGGGGGGAATGGATACTCCGACAAGAACTTGTATTTGGAACATCCGGGGCTTGCTACTAGAGCCGCGAGCATGATAAGCCCATGAAAGTGACTTAAGCTTTGTGTAGTCGCTCTTCGCAGGGACAGAGCCTTGCTGCGAAGTATCCAAGAAAGCGTCGATTCAGTTCTGAACAATAATTCAGAGAGGAGCCGAAATCCGCCAGGCACAGTACGGACTCCTTTGTCATGTCAACCACCAACAACGAGAAGGCACGCACTAGTATCCCCGTCCATCGCCAAACTGTACCAATTGTTCTGTGATCGATTCAGAGGGTGAGACCATGTCCGGGGACGGTTGCAACGTGCCTTGGAACGAAGAGGCGGACGGTTGGGATGGAAGTCGATCTTTGAACAATAAGGAAGTTTCAACGACTAAAAACAAGTATTGTTAGCATCCATATCGAAGTACGAAATCGTAATAGCAGCGATATTGTTTTTGTTTTTGCCGGCTCGAGACCGACGGGAAGGAGGTGCTTTGCCCCCAGCCGGGCGCTGCTAACAAGGAGTCGAACCCTGCTCGCCACTCCTACCCAAACCCCCCAGGACCCTCAAAACCGCAAGCCCACACAACCGACAACCCACAAGAAAGTGAAACCCTCATGGCCCGCATATTCGAAAAGATCCGAATGATTCAAAACAAAAATTCTTGAACTCGGGAATTCCGAGCTTCGAAAGGTAAAAGAACTGCTAAGACGCCAGTCGAGACAGCGAGCCATGGCGAGAAACCAACCGAAGGCAAGGTCCAGGTACAGTAGACAGGCAGTTCGTGCCGAGGGCGAAGTAGGCAATGTTTGCAACGCCGACGGTAGACACCGGTATATCCCAAGTTCCGTGCAGCCTCGGAGAGACCCAATAGGAAGAGGAACCAGTTGTTTATCATGCCTTGTCGACGAAACGAAACGCTGCCAGTATTGTTCGTGAGACTGCACGATGCAATCTACTAAAACGATAGCAGGGCGTGGGTGCCAACCTCTTCGGAAGTCGCGTCGTCAGTACATGAGACCTTTAGCCGTGCATACAAGCGCCTGAATGTCAGGCATCAACACGACTGGCGGCCCGTATGTATAACGTCCGTTGTCCAACAACCTCGCATACAAGCGCCTGAACGTCAGGCGTCAGCAAGATTGATTCAGAGATCGGTCGGAGCCACATATATAGAGTACTAGTCGGTCGAGCCATGTGGGCATACGATGAGAACGCACGCTCGCTGTAACATGGTGACACGATTTTCTAACCCCTATTCCCTTTTGCTTTCGATGCCGTCATTTCTGCAATGGGGCTGCTACCCCGATGCGACAATGGCAAGAAGTACATCCGTGTAACTCTGATCACGCAGCAGGCATTGTTCAACTTGTGTCAAAGGCAGTGAGTACGTCAGGCTGAAGATCATGCACTCAAAGTGATGCGAGCAGTGACAAGCCAGCAATGTCAATCGAGACAACCGCTGTCATCCGGGGACCGGAGGATACATGTAGGGTCGGCGTGAAGACGCGACAACATGCTCATAGAAGAGATGCAGAAACAGACAACCGACGAATCTTGTGACATATTTGAATGAGTTGTACGTTCAGGGCCAAACATATCAGCTGAGCCAACAGAGGCAGACAAATTCAGTTCCTTCAATCACGCACAATAGCCGAAAGTGCCGAGCAGCGAAACGAGGAAAAGGCCAAGCGGAGGGGCACGAAGCCAGTCAATCCTCAAAAACCACGCACACTAGCAAATACCAGGCGAGCAGTGAGACGAGGAGAAAACGAAGCGGAGTCAGCTTCAAGTTTGTCAATCCTCATGGAACCATGCCGTTAACGACAGAGACAACTACCCATGGTGGGAATCGAACCCACTGCACAAGACGGGGCAACGGTCTTGGCCACCCAGCACGCTCTGTCAACGCACCACCCGGGTTTGGTTTGAGGAATGTAGGATACTGACTTTCATGCTGACACACGACATGATTCAGATTGCGCCAACATGCTTATTAGTATCCCGTTGATTTGGGTATTAGAGGCATACAGCAACCGACACCCGCTCATTAGTTCATGAGGGAACTTGTCGTCGCCGGGGTGTAATACCCTTAGATCAAGAGAGTACGAAAGGAATAAGGAAAGGAAAGAAAAGAAGAGAGAACACATTGACGAAACAAGAGGTCGATTGGAAACACGAAGAGCTAGCTCGAAACGCGTCAACACAGACACGAGACGCGAAACGCGACTACGCTGAGAGATACAGAAAAAAGAGTGTTGTCAGATATGATCTAGACAATGAGAAACAGAAACAATTTCTAAATGAGATTCAAGCAACTGCTATACATTCCACAGAGCTTGGTTTTCGTAGTTCCTGCTCAGGAGACATGGTAGGTGAGGTGGAGCAGGAGAGGGTGGAGGAGGAAAAGGTCAGTGGGGAAAGACGGGAAATTTAAAGTGGCCGGGCCGCAATTGTGGGACTAGCCGTTTTCGCCTAGCGCGAATTAAGCGAGGCCATGAATTGAATACCAAGGTACATGCTCCGTTACCACCAGGTGTCCTGATTGTTGTGACAACATTATGCGTAATTGACTTGAGCTTTACCAGTGCTTGCGGCAGAAAGATCATCGATTCGTCATAGGCTCGGTCGCAGATGCGGTTCCCATAGAGATGAAGCTAAAATTGAACGAAGTGAAGAATATGTGAATCGCATTGATATGCACAGCTTTCTAATATTGACTATTTACACTAGCCTGGATCCGTCGACGGCTTTAGCATAACGATAACTCGTAGCCGAGAAGAACATGTTCCCTGCTACAGCGATGATCAATCCCCGAGCGTAGACCAGCTGTGATGATGTCGTACCCTTCGCGTTGACGAGAGACTCATATTCCTCACCTATCTGCCGCTCGGTATCCAATATAATACCGCGAAGAATCGACTTGGCCGACGAAGAGGAAACATTCATCAAATCCCGGACGACCTTGACGGCGTTGAGAAGAGGTTCTCCGTTCTCCTTTTCGGCGATGACTTCCTTAGGATACGAGTATAGATCGTTGGACAATGCACAATGCTTCGCGCAGGCGGAACTCAGGCGTTCAAGAGCTTGTTCGTCGCGATCTGTAACAGAGATATCCGATGCAAATTCCACGCTGCGAAAGACGAGGCTGGGACCGTTAGTGCCGCAGCGTAGCGAAGGATCAGAGTAGCCTACTCAGCTCCCACATCTTCTATCCGGTATTTCACGTAGCTCATGAGTGTCGGGAAGGCTTTGCTGGGTTGTATCGTCTGTGGCAGGGATCCCCACGATATCATACCGTCCAGAAATCTCCTGCCCTGCGCAGTGTCCTCAGACATGACTTCCTGGGCTACCATGTCAAATGCGGTGTGAGAATGTCGCTCATTATTGTTATACGTATTCGGAATGGTTGCATCGAACTGTTATTGGTAAGCACTGAAACATCTAGATGGAATGGCGCCGGGTCATACATTTCCCGACTCAACAGCATCTGCATTATAAACAGTGGTCAGATTCGCCACAGTACACTGACGGCTTTACTTACCATCATGTATAAAGATGAGCGTATAAGCCCTCGCCAGGGCTCTCGTTCTCGATAAGCTTCCTGTTGGGGCAACATTCACAGTGAATGAGACAGCCGCGTCAATCACAGCTTCGATGTACTTCTCAGAGACATTCTGTGACGGCGTGACAAAGATCGCCCGTAGCAAATCTCTCGCAGCCTCTTCCGCTTCCGTCCAGTACTTGGACTGCAGCGAGGCAGGGAATGATGTGACCCATGGTATTTTCAGACTAGACGGAACAATGCAATTTGCATGTCGCAGTTCGGGCGAGTTCGCGACAGCTTGAGGGTTGAGAAACGAGAAATATGATCGTGTCGAAGCAGCGGATTGGTTTTCAACGGGGTCGAACGCGTATAATATCTTTCTGATGCAATTCTTATTGCCCGGGTCCGATACCGAAAAGTAGCGAGAGTTATGCGACGTGCGCAAGGAGGATACGTATTGGTTTCTCCGCCATATCGATGTGCGTCTCGCTTTCAAAGGTGATATATAGGCACTCAAAGAGGAGTACATGTTGCCATGAGCTCGGATGCCCGAGATGAACGCGTCAGCGCGGACGCGCTATTGATTGTCCTGCTCAGGTACCGTCTTACAAAATCCAAGGTACTCAACTACAAGAAGACGTCAATCCATGGGCACAGAAACAACTACCCCGTTCCCTTCTGCGTTGGATTCAGAATGCCATGATGTAGTGATACGCCAGGTGACGATAACATCTTATTTAACTCGCCACGGGTCAACCCACACCATAGGAACCCACACCTAATGGTGTGGGTCGGCTACTCCGTACAGCTCACCTGCGACGCAATATATCAACGTAAAAGGTTTACACATATAAAACTCATTGCTGAAAAGGCGAATTAAGACAACCACAATAGCAGTATGACTACGTAATAGTGCTAGGGGTATTATTATTTGTATATCCTAATGATTACCTAAAAGAATAAGGTTAAAATTGCTTGATTCTACATATATCACCTTCATGGTAAATTTCTTGGCATGTAATTTTGGTATTAATGTAACAATAAGGTATTTATTATTGGGCGCATGTAGATAAGCCCATCTCTGCGCTATGTGGTTGCTGATCGAGGTGATGCGTTGCGTTTTGAGCTATAGCCGACCCAAACCACGTGGTTTGGGTCAGGCCCTGACGACAAGTAACGTGTCTCTCTGATCATACCTTTCTCATTGAAGCATCAATTCCCATCAATTCCCATCAATTTCGACCGTGCCTACCATTCTCAGTATCGCGAATTACGGCTCATATCTACGAAACTCCTAGGAAAGTGCGCCTGGCCGCGGACAGAAACCACCTCTGGCAAGCGCAGTTTATCATTGTCGTCTTCTGTGTTTCTCCAAACACAATGGAATTCATACGAAGAATTCTGGCAGGCTCAACGCCTCGCATGACTACGATGGGTAGGCCCGTTCAACTACTGTTTCTACTATCCATCACTGCTAACTAATAAATCCAGATAACCCCTTCACGTGTCCCCGCGCAGATACAATTCAGTGTTTAGCAGGGATTCTCGAGGTGACGCGCGTCGTGCTTGTCCGTGGAACTCCGACGTCCGGCAAAACAACGATGGCAAGGCTATTAAAGTCGCACTATGACAGTCAGGGTATACCCAGTGTATACTTTCCTCATCTTGTATCTTCAAACGGTCATAGACATCGTGTCCAATTGTCTGGAGTGGGTGTTTAACCATGCCCACTTAACAGCTACATTCAGAAAGGGACAGTATATGGCATTCACAGATGGCCCATTACACTCCATAAATGAATGTTGTTGAGACGAAGAAGAGGATGAGTATGCTATTCTCATGCAAGAGGGATTAGAGATGGTTGGTTGGACCTTGAGACAGTAACCTGTCATCCCACTCCTCCAATACTACACGCTGTCTGGGCTCGCATGGGCGATGACCAGCAGAATCTGTCCCTTAATGCCTGGTAGCCTGAGCATCTCGGTCACCACTTCGTCCTGGTGTAATTGAGTGACTCCGACTCGGGTCTTGACTTATTATCTTCTGGGGAGTACAACACCCAGCTGCAGTCTACCTTGTTGCTAACTTAAGAGAAGGCTACAGACTAACTGCAGAGAATACGTGTGAGCCATAGTTGCTTAGCACTTCTGGTCTCAGATCTAGTACGGCATCATCGCTGTGGCAGATATGTCTGGGACTCTGGGTTTCCTAATTTGGATGCTGGCAGATGTGTAGTTACTATTATGACTAGTAATCAACCCGTCTGGTACCTACCAGGGAAACGATGGGGTCGGAGTTGGAGGGAGAAAGCTTGCGTCTCAGAAAAGTCTACCGGTCTACACGCCGTGCGTGGAAAATGATATAAGACTCGCCATTCATGGGGCGCAAGGTATGGGTCTGCTGTGTCTTTGTATCCCGTAGGCACATCAAAGTGCCATTCTCACCAAGTCCCGTTCTCACGTCTCACTGGGATGAGAAAACGGGCAGTTCTGCATATCCTTCGCGCACTCGGAAAGTGAGGGTGCCATACCCTTAACAGGTAAATTGGCCTCCGGATAGAAGCAGATCAGTGATGGACATACTGGTTGAACTAGCCCGCGGTATTGGTTACACAGTCAATGATACAACACTTTACAATACCGACATTGTCTTCATCATTGATGAAGCTCAGATGATATACTACGACAATGGTTTTTGGCTTGATTTTGTCAAAACACAGAGCGGAAGCAGGTTTGGCCCAAGAATATGCATCTTCAGCAGCTATGGAAGTGCCGAAGCGGGCCCGTCAGAAGCTGCTGTTGGGACTCCGCTCGCCTATTTGGGTCCGAAGCAGAGAGTCTCGATCACACCATCAAAGCTCGAGTTTGCACCAAAAATATCTCTCTTTTATAACCGGGCCGAATTTGATGATGTTGTCAACCGAGCATGTACTGACCCGATCCGCCCCCTCAGACTCGAGCTCAGTGCGCGGGACATCATATTCACAATGACAAATGGGCATCCAGGCAGCGTGGAGTCGGTGTTGAACCTTGTTTCCCAAGTAAGAGCTCTGCTAAACTCTAATAGATTGTGACTAACACCGTCTTTCCACTCGCGTAGGTCTATCATCCTCAACTCAAGCACGGGACGATAGAGGCTGTTACGCAGGAACACATTATGAGCCTCCTTGAAGATGAAGACCGGCTTTTCCAACATTTGAAGGACACGCTAGTACAACGATCTTTTATCAAATGGCGTGACCTTACAGTCGAAGCTGCTGATATTCTACGTGAAGTACTGGCAAACGGAAGTGTATCCCAAGACCTTACGAATAACGGCATTCGTATTTGCTATGAGAAAGGATGGCTCCACACAGAGCCACTTAGCTGGGATGACAAGGACATTCGCTGCGTATTTCCCACCCATCTCCATGCGAAGTATGCCCATGATCCCCAATTTCACAATGTCGGGTCAAACTAACCTAACAGATAGGTGGAACACTTTCTTACGGACTCGCCCCGTCCATTTCCAAGTGAAAATACCCTGACATCAAGACGTTCACCGCAAGCGTCGTGAAGCAGTTTCGCCTCGAGCACTTTCCTCTACTACGAGGATGGGGACTGCCGCTGTTATTCGCCCAATTGAAGCTGCATATCAGGATGAGTTTTACCGGGCAATACATGCAGTTCTCGGAACTGCGACAAAGATAACAAGTGAATGGTCGGGAGACAACCGTGGAAGAATTGATTTCAAACTGGTATCCCGTGGATGGGGATTCGAAATACTCAGAGAGGGAGACCGCTTGGCAGAACATTGTGAGCGATTTGCGCCCGGCGGTCGATATTACAAATTCATACAAGATGGCCAGGTCAGGGATTGGGTGATCCTTGATTGTCGGACCAGCAGACCTCGGCCATATGGTGGTAAGTGCATTTCACTACCTATTGTATCTCTGCTGCTAAGGTGCTAATCACCCTGCAGGCGCGGGTCACAGCAATCTGTGGCGAGTGGTCTTCACTCCAGACTTCCTTTCAGCAGAGATCTTGGACTCTTCTAATCATGTTGTATTTGAGAGATTCCCCTTGGCGTCACAGCTCCCATGTTGACCCCTCTGCCGTCTAACCCAGACTACGGCAATGAATAGAGCACATGGTGACTGGCCGACCAAATGAGCAATGCACGAGGGCTGGTAACACAATTAGAGGCTTTACCTTAGCTAACTGGTCTGTCTTTTAGTGCGCCCCTATCATTATAACCTTTATGATAATGTTGTAGTTTCTTTTGCCTGTTGTTGTACGTTTTGCTTTGTATGGTAAAACGCAATATCCTGGATGGACAGGCTTTTTAGTTAGCATTCAAGATGCAGCGTCGGACGTCTGGAAATTCATAGTTCCCTTTCTCAACAGACATTACGACACCAGGATTGTAATTCCAAACGACTTTGACGACAGTGTTACCGAAATACAAGAGCAGTGAAAAGGCTAGGACCTGAGCTCAACAGCTTATCAACTTCTATTACTTGTTAGACAAGGAAGGCAGAACCGGACCAACATCAGTGCCAAGTGGCGAATCGCAGAACAAACCACAACCATCACCTACAATTGGTCGTACACCCAAGAAGAATCCGGACGATAACGTCGATTCACAAGAAGCAGCCAGCCCCCCCCCTTTATCCGTATATCCATCGTTATACGTTGTGGCTGGTGGCCAGTGACATCGCAGGACGCCCCGTGAGATTTCTTCCATGTAAGGAAATTGTAGTGTTATAGCAGAATGGTATAACCATAGAGAGCAGAATGTCAAATGACATTTGACTAAGATGGTTACATTGGTATCTCCTCGACGTAGTATGAATCCGCGTGTACTGTTGTCAAGCATACATGGATGATTGCACATGCTCTCTCGTTCTCTTGCATGTATGACTACTATACTGGCATTTGATATCTCTACTATTCTACTATCCGACATGCGTAGTATACTTTTGGTAGCCCTACATGTGATGCTGCTGTATTGTAGGGAAATATGATAGTTGATTTCCAAACCAAGTAGCCACAATATGACCTTGATAAACAATATATAGGCATATAAGGTGTGCACACACCACTATCCTCAGTTTAGAAAAGAAGAAGGAAAAGCGTGTGGCGTAAGTCAAGTATAAACCGCGACCGGTAGGGCAAGAATAACAGGCACGCAGTTGTGGTGGTCACTCTGCCAAATGAGAAGAGCAATGCGCAAGCCACTAGTCCTGCAAACTGTATCAAGAATCCAACTGAACCCGGCCCAGAATTGTAAGCTCGACATGAAGTAAGATTCCCAGTTGCGGTAATACTTCTGTTCCCTTCAGTGTTTGATTCAGGAAGCCATTACGCCTCCTGCGAACCCCACTTCACATCGGGATTTCGGATTTCCGACCATCAATCCGACAACTATCATCATCAACTAACAATGAGATCATCTCCATACAGTACAAATGCAAACAAAGGAAAACAGAGAGCTCCTCCACGGAAAAAGGCATGTCAGAATTGCACCAAATCCAAAGTACGATGTGGACTGGAAAAGCCTATCTGTTCGCGATGCAGGTCGAAAGGCCACAGTTGCCAATATCCGCCGGGGCGCGTTGCTACACCTGAGATTGAGGTCACTGGTACCGCTAACGACGTCGGAGAAGACTATACACCACTTCTTGGTATACAAGGATTTGCAGACTCTGCTATAGCTCCGGTACCAGCGTCTTTGATACCGGAATCCGGCCCAGCTGCGACTTTCCGGTCTCCTCGTCCTCGTGCTGTAACCAGCGGACAGGCCAGACGCCTCGATCTCGATTTTACGGATATCGACTTGACACCAAGTCTAAACGCAGTAGATATCCGAGACAGATGGCTGAGACCGTATCTCCTCCCACCTCTGGGACGAGATGAGATTCCCAAGGCCTACCATCCATTTACGTTGCAATACATCTCCATTATCCTCAGGACATATCCACGGTATATGCTGAAGGATGGCGGTTTTCCACCAATTATACATCATACGCAAGTCAATACGAATCAGATGCCACAAGCTCTGGCCAACTGCTACAGCCTTGTCCGAATGTGGGAGCAAGCGGCTCCAGGAAGCGAGACGATGGTGATGAGCACTGTGGAGGCGGAAATGGAAAGACTGGCAAGTGAGGTACGCTTTCTTTAAGGTCCCTTTGGATTCTAAACTGATTGTACAGACAACGAGTCAACATGACTACGACCTCCTATGTTCCTTCCAAGCCTACCTTGTCTATACCATCTTGATGTACTTCAGCCCTCTCGGCAACGTATCCGTAGTAACCGATAAAACCATGATGACCTTAATGGAGCTTGCCTTCCGTACTGCTCAGAATGGCCTATTGTGTACGGAGGAGATCACTCATACGCGGCCAAATTGGGAATCCTGGATCGTGGTCTCGGCCAAACGTCGCGCCATTTACACCATGTACCTGCTCAGCAGTGTTTACAATTCAGATCGGGGTCTACCAAACTTTGTGGCTGACGAAATGAAGGGGGTCTATGTCCCCGAAAGCAGGGTACTATGGGATGTCACAGACCGAGGAGTATGGGAAAAGGAGTATGACCGGCACCTCCTGGAATGGGAAGACGGGATGCTGGAAATATCGGAGTTATGGCGATCAACCGAGACTGGTTCGACTGGACGACGCGAAAGGATTGGAAAATGGGTTCGTGGGGTGGACGAGTTTGGTATGATGTTGTTCGCAGTCTGTGCACATATCCATGGTTGTTAAGAAAGTCCTACGGAACTCCGAAAGGAACCATCGGAGCGCCGGAATCGGCAGGCGTCAACATTGTACGGCTCGACATAAAACACGCTCTCGCTCTCCCTTTCATGCCAAAGTAGACTCCTTCTTACACATCAATTGATTATCTCTGAAACATACCAACAACCACAATGTCTAACAAAGCTGTCTACATCACTGACCACTCCCCCTCCGTTCTCCAAACCCACAGCTGGCGCACCGCCTCCAACTCTGCCGCCTACCTCGTCCCCTACATCAAACCGAGCATGAAAATCCTTGATATAGGCTGCGGCCCGGGCAGCATCAGCATCGACTTTGCGCGGCTCGTCCCCCAAGGCCACGTCACGGGGATCGAGTACGTTGCCGACCCGCTAGACGCAGCCCGATCCCTCGCCTCCACACATGGAATCACGAACATCGACTTTTGCGTCGGCGACATCCACTCACTTGACTTTCCGGACGACACCTTCGACATCGTCCATGTTCACCAGGTGTTACAGCACATCGCGGACCCAGTGCGTGCACTACGGGAAATGCGCCGGGTTGCGAAGAGTGACGGTGGGATTGTTGCGGCAAGGGAGTCGGCATCGATGACATGGTACCCTGACAACGCGGGAATCGCCGGATGGAAAGAGGTTACAGGTCGTATGTGTAAAGCGAAGGGGGGCAATCCGCATCCCGGCCGGTATATCCATGTTTGGGCAGAGGAAGCCGGGTTTCAAAGGACAAGAATCAAGAAAAGTGCTGGGGCATGGTGCTTTAGTAGTCCTGAGGAAAGGGAATACTGGGGTGGAACAATGGAAGCGAGGATGAGATCGAGTGGGTTTTCGAAGATGGCTGTGGAGGAGGGATATGCGACGAAGGAGGAGTTGGAAACGATCGCGAATGGATGGAGGGACTTTGTCAGGAACGATCAAGCTTGGTTTGGGTTATTCCATGGGGAAATTCTATGCTGGAAATAATCTAGCATCAACATTGACACGACCATGAACAAGTGGTACTATGACAATGGAAGTTTAAGATTCCTGATGTAACTGCACCGAGACACCCTCTGGGAACTGCACTTCCTTCAATTCCTCCAGCGTAACATTATCGGGTACAACGAATCTTGACCCCAGTCAGCAATATGTCCAACATCTCAGCAAAAAAAGAAAGCCATACGAAGTAGTATGTATAGGAGGGAGGCTTCTCGTCGAAATAAAAAACGTGAACTTATCTGCCCCTTTTGCTGCGAACCCGTCCTTCGTACTGTCACCGTATCAGTCGCCAATTCAGATGCGATCGCTGAGTATACATACATTCGTTCAATCTCGCCGTTATGTTTCCGCCATGCTTCGACGCTGTCGTATTGAATGACAAGGCTCTGCTTGGGTTACCTGGGAATCATGGACACAATTCAAATTAACTCACATATTTTGGCATTTTGAGTATCGTCCTAGATAATTTGCACCAGCAATGTTTGGATGGGCCGATAGATTGTTGAAAGTGATTGATCCCGCAGAGCATGTGCTGCAGCTATGATGTCACCGCCTCGCTCAAAATTCGGATTTGTTTCTAAAGTGATTCTCCGCTCAAACAAAATAAACACCACCGATGATCAATTACTCGGGGACCTTGCTCGCAAACATACAAAAAAACCATCGAAACCCAGCAGCAATGCATCCAACCCTCACCTCTACCACTACCAGTCATCCAAATCAGGCGAGTGAGCCCGCTCATGATCCGAACTCGAGCTAGAACGGTACTGCTCCTCCTCCAACCTCTCCACCCGCTCCTTGAGCTCCTCCTCCTCTTCATCCTCACCTATAAAAAGTTAGTCAGCAACCTATCAACATAAAACCACATCTGCAAAGGCAAAACTCACGCTTCTCATGCTCCCACAGCGCCATACCGGCCGCACCGAGCGCCACACCCGCCACACCACCCGCAATGATCTTCCCCACCCCGCTGGACTTTTTCTTCTCTTCCGGAGGCGGATACTCCCCGGGAGGCGGGTAGTAGCCTCCGTCCTGTGGCGGCGGCGGCGGAGGAGAAGCATAGTAGCCCGCCGACTCAGGCGGGGGCCCGCCTAGTCCCCTCGCGTGCTCGGAGTCCTGCATGGGCGTCTCCCACTGCGAGCGGCCTGTTGCCGTCTCGACGAAGTATGCGCGGCGGAGACTGGGTTCCCATTCTTGGACCCAGCCGAGGGGGAGGGGTGGGGGAGAGATTGCGGGTGGTCGGGCGGAGGGGGCGGGCGAGGAGCTGTTGTAGGGTGGTCCCTCGTAGCGGGGGCGAGATGGGTCGAAGGAGGAGGGGGAGCGCTCGGGGGGAGGACGCTCATAGGGGGGCCGCTCGTACGGAGGGCGGCCGTACGAGGGTGAATCCTGGGGTGGGATGTCGTAGGGAGGGCGGTTGTAGGATGGTTGTTGCTGTTGCTGTTGCTCGTAGGGGGGTCGGTCGTAGGGAGGCCGGCCGTAGGTGGGTTGAGGCGGGCCTCCGTAGTAGGTATCTCTTTCTCCGTAGTAGGACATGTTACTCGCAATTTATGTGTAGTAGTATGTGGTAGTCAAGGTAAGTTCACTGGGTTATATGTAGAAAGAAAGTAAGAGAGACGAGTTGAGCAGCGTCGAGCCTTTTATGCGGTCCTGAGGAAGGGAGGGGACACTCAGTCTATGCATGCATACTCCATACACCTACGCTCCAAATTACATTTACCATCACCGAGTTTGAGTGATTTGTATACTGTCGGCGCGTAGAGCCGTTCCGCATGCATCAAGTCGAAGCAGATAGTCGACACTAAGACGTGTATCCACCGGGCTATTAGTTTCGATGGGGACAGTCGATAGTGCAGCAATTAGGCAGATACATTCTGTCTAACAATGGAACATCAACAATATACCTCTACCTAACACTCCATACGGTGTATATCAATGATTACCCCTGACTCTTAGCAATTAAAGCAGCTAATATTACTCTCTAATCCACTTCATTCTTCTATACAGATAGCTAACACAATGTACATTTCTTGTAGATCGTTAACACTCAACGCTTAACTCTGGTGATATATCTGCACCACACCGAACCATTCCTCCGATCACAAACATCAAACTAAGCATATGACTCGTCCACCAGCAATAAAAGAAACAAAGCACCTGACAATTGACAACATCCACAGTCCCTCTGCTTCGACGCCACATCAAGGCTGGTGTGTGGATCTCGCGAGTCACACCCAATCGGATACCCCTGGACTCTTACTAGCCACACCGGTGTATCAGCGGAGCGGTTCGGGTTCAGCCTTAACAAGCCACATAGCCCCTTGCCTTTGGATAAAGAATCAGGCAGAAACAGTCTTTCTCGGTTGACAGCCTAATGAAAGATTTCATATTATTCCGTAGTGGATAGGATGCATGGCACTGAGTGAGGTATTTTCGAACAAGCCACGTGTGTCATAATGAGTGGCTGTGACTGTGGTCCTTTTGCTACACTGCTGTCGAACTGAACTGGGTGTCAGCCACAGGCCCCTCTTATTATTTACCCAGTTATTGATACCCACTTTGGTCCTGGAGTTTCCGGAATGTTCCTGACGGAAGATGCTCCTCTGTCTTCCTTCAGGGATGGATGTGGGGCGAAGGAGTTGATCTTTGAGATGAACGATATAGGGGTCATACAGGGCCTGGACACGAACATTGATGGCGTTGATATTCTAGGCTTCAAGCATCGCAAGCTGGCCTCGAGTAGATTTTGTTAGAGTTTACGATGAGCAGTGAGCGATATATAAATGAATAAAAGATGTCGGAAGACATTCCGATTAATTAGATACATTTGGAACTCGTAACCGTTGTCCAGCCAGTATGCAGCGAGTCAACGCTTCAACTTGTACTGGTATCACCCATACTGGATCATATCAGGTGGAATCACTCATGGTACTAAAGCTCCTATATCATGATCAGTGATGGTTTGCAGAATCGTACCGGCGCCGAGGTTCACTGCAAATCCGGTCAACTCGAGCCACGGCTCGCAACATCGGCAGACTGGTCACTTCCAGGATAGAAGAAGGCCGCAACACTGAAGTACGATCAGTAATAGGTCCATTTTCTTTAAAAGAGCAATGACTTACCTGATGATGACATAGGCGGCAATAAGCAGCGCCCCCTCAAGATAATTGCTTCGACCATCCAAAACCAGAAAGTTGACCACAAAAGCAGTCACAAACAAGCAGATGGTTTCGAACAGGGTAAAGTACAGAGACATATCCTTGTCCATGCACCAGCCTAGAATGACCACCAGGGGTGTAACGAAAATCGCTAGCACCTGTCAGAAAACGGAAATCGTACAGACATATTGATATTGCTAGACTCACCGATTTGAATACTGCTTCCCACTGACACGCCAATGGACAAATCCATCTTATTCTTGGTGGCCACACTGACGGCAGTAACGTGTTCTGCAGCATTACCGACAATAGGCAGAATGATCAGACCTATAAAAGCCTCGCTGACCGATGAGCTTTCAATCATTTCTGGGATGGCGTCCACTAGGAACTCGGCACAAACGGCGACAAGCGCAGTTGACACCAGTAACATAACCACGGCAGCCGTGCGTGATATCTCAGATTCTTTGTGCTCAGGAGGAGCATTGTTAGCCGTGACATCAACCGTAGTTGGCATACGAGCGGCGCCTCTAGCAAACTGTACTGCGTTTCCAACTGCGGGAGGACGATTCATGTGAGAAGGAAGAGACCGCGTGCGTCGAAGACCAGGATCTCCTGGAGCTGGTTGGGTAAGGTTGTTCGAAGCGGCAGTGTTTGAAAACACAGTATTGGATAGTAACGATGGGATCGCGGGGCGAAATGGAGATTTTCTCTTCGGGAGGGCGGCAGCAACATCAGCCGGCTGAGACGAGTTGATGCCATTAGGACCAGACACAGGCAGAGGAGACGGCAGGTACGGTCGCTGCATCGATGCATCAGTGTCCACGGTGTTGACATTGTCTTCCTTGCGGGCTTTGTGCTTTTTGCTTGTTCGCTTCTTCGCTTTGCGGTCCTTTCTGGATGTTTCCCGATCGCCAATTGACCGCGGACCAAAATCTATCGAGCGAGGCTCGTTGATTCGCTTATCATCATCTGCTTCGTAGTGACCATCGTCCGCAAAATCAATGGCGATTGAATGGTTGGAAATTGGTCCCTCGGTAGAGCCGCTCTTCTCGTTCAGCCCTGAACGGGCTGTATCGCCAGAATTCTTCTTGCTAAGAGTGCCAGAGGCAGTATGATTGGAGCTTGTGCTGGACTTTCGACGTCTACGATGTCTCATCGCTCGCTTGATGCGCTTTGCGGTTGTCCATGATGTCGTGGTGTCATCGGAATCATCAGACGAGCTGCTGGATGAATCGGAAGAGCTGTTCATAAACTCCGCCAGGACACCAGGATGAGACTCTTCGTCAATGATCCGCTGTGGGATACTCGCGTAAAGATAGGAGTGGGATTTGAGTTGAAAGATGATGTAGAGAAAATACACGAGGAGCAGCACCTGCACAATATGAGAATCATAGATATATTGCTGATCAGAACAATGCTTACGACACTGGTTCCTCGGCTAACTTTCAGAGTGTTCCTGTCGGCCGATGCACTGTTCGACCAAGATGCATGGAATGCAGTCTAGCCATATCATAATCAGCATGTTTATGTGTAGTAGATTCAGCGCAATACTAACAGGTAGAAGAAGACTGGTGACACTCAAACTCAGGAGGCATGCGCTCATCTGAGTGACTGTGCTGTTATAGATCTGGAGACAATTAGCACGGACCTGATATTGCGCCCAAGAGTAACCTACCTGTTCCTGGAAGCGGAGACCTCCCAGAAGGAAAGACATTCCCAGAATCAACAATAGATTAGCTAGGATGGAGCCTAGCAGGGAGGCCTGGACGATCCTTATCTCATTCTGCAGTTGTTAGCTAGATCATCAGATAGGCTTGAAAGGGATGTACC